CATGGCATGAATGCAGCTATTCACATATTCTCTTTTGTAGCCTCATGGAATAGTGAGTTGTGCATCATATGCACTCTTCACAATGTATTTATTTTTTCTTTAATATAGTTTGATGAATGCAATTTTTAATGCAGCCAAAAACTATTTCAAGCTGTTGTACCTTTGCAGAAATTGAAGATTTATTACAAACACACTGTAAAATTAACAATAAGTCTACAGCATTAACCTGCATTGTCTCTAAGACAACATGATTTTCATTAGTGTGTCCTTCAGTATAAGATTTTTTTGAAAATGGATGACAAATTTTATTCATCGGTTGTCAATTATTGTGCAATCTCTTATAATGTATGTGTAAAGATCATGAACATTTTGATAAATTTAAATGTAATTAATTTGAGTCTATTGTATTTTTTGCATAATCTTTGTGTTCCTACAATTTATCATGTTGAATTGTTTCACAGTTAAAAAAAAATTCTTGGCATCAGAATCATGATCTGTTGTTGACTTTGTTTGCTTTTATTATTTTTAATTGTCTGTCTGTCTATCTGTGTGTCTGTTTTGTTCTACATTACCTGACAGAAGTCTTGTCGTCGATCCCAGTTGTAAGAGCAACAAACAATAAGTTGAATTCTAGTTGATCGTTTGGAAAAAGTGGCAGAAGGTAGATTTTTCCGATGAATCATCTGTTGAACTGCATCCCAATCATCACATATACTGCAGAAGACATATTGGAACCCACAAAGACCCAAGATTCAGTCAATCAGTCAAGTTTGGCGAAGGACAAATCATGGTTTGGGGTTACATTTCAGTATGGGGGCGTGCGAGAGATCTGCAGAGTGGATGGCAACATCAACAGCCTGAGGTATCAAGACATTTGTGCTGCCCCATTACATTACAAACTACACGAGAGGGCAAATTCTTCAGCAGGATAACACTCCTCATTCTTCAGGCTCCACATCGAAATTCCTGTAAGCAAAAAATAAGGTTAAGGTGCTCCAGGATTGGCCAGCCCAGTCACCAGAAATGAACACTATTAAGCATATCTGGGGTAAGATAAAGGTGGAGGCATTGAAGAGCAATCCAAAGAATCTTGATGAACTCTGGGACTCCTGCCAGGATGCTTTCTTTGCCACTCCAAATGACTTGATTAAGTTATTTAAGTCATTGCAGACATGTATGGATGCAGTCATCCATACGCATGGGAATAATACACAATATTAAGTTTGTCTGAGCTAAGTCAGATCTTAAATAATTAAAAATCAAGGCATGATCGTATGCTATTTTGGTAAAAGATGCATAATTCAGAGGGCTTTGCCTTTCATATGAGCCACTTCTGATACCAAATGATCAACTAGAACTCAAATTATTTTTTGTTGTTCCTAAAAATTGGATAGGAGAAGACTTTTGTCAGATAGTGTATTTATTATTCTCTATTTCACTACTATGAAAACTCATTCTGTGCAGTTTTAGTGTTTCTAATGATCTTTTTTCATCAACATTTGACGTTCTATTTCTAACACAGTTTATTTTGGCCATCTAGAGCCATTCTATTCTGTTATATTATTATTATTATTATTATTATCATTTGATTTAAAGCAAACAAGTACATTCTTCTATTGTAAGTTACTTTAAATTGTTCACACTAGGGCTGTGCAATTAATCAAAATTAAATTGCAATCGTGATTAGTTTATATTTATATTAGCGATGTGATTAGTTTATATATGCATATTAAACAAAAATAGTAAATAACATCTGAGGTGCTTCAAAACCAATCCGCTATGCATTAGAAAATTAAACATTTTAGACTTTCTGCAGTGGTGTCGAGAGGCTTCGCCGACATGGTATCGGTTGTCGTGAACTATGCCATTACACAAGAAGAAACGATTGAATCTTGTGTCACGATGCCCATTTACCACCCCCCACGACAACCTACATCAAGGAAATTTTTAAGAGCTGTCACAGATTTGTTGCAACAGCTTAGAGATTAATGAGCTGAATCTTCAATTATATTAAAATCAGCTTGAAGCTTGAATTAAATTGTAAAATTAGATATTTCCCCCAAATCGCACATCCCAGGTCCACACGATAAAAAATCTTGCTGTTTTACATTTTTGTTCTAATTATTTTTTTTCAGTTATCTCAACTTGTATTGATCTAACTACATTTGTTAAACATTTCTTAGCTTTGTCGAAACCTGATTAACTTGTTAAAATAAGTTAAAGCAACATAAAAACATTTGCTCATGACTTTTTGACATAATTTTTTATAGTTCAGTGTGATCATCTGATCTATACTGAAAATTTAGGAGGTCTTGTTCGGTCATACAGAAAATCATAATACTGCTGACAGTTCATAATATACCCTGCAGGGCTATATAATAAGAGTAACACAGTATGCTGCTTTGAGCATATTCAGAGAAAGAGAATGAGTAAAAGTGTAACATATCCTGTTTTGGAAAGCACAGCCACTGTTATGTGTGTGTGTGGTTGACCGGATGAGGTCAAAGGTGCAAGGAGGGTTCAGATAAGCAGCCTGGGCAGTCAGGCAGTGAATGGAAGGCCAGTTGGCCAGCTGGGTCACAAGGACATTGGGAGAATCTGAGAGTAACACATCGACCCTCGTGGAGGCGGGAAAAGAGAGTGCGTCGCACAGTGTGTATCAGCTCCCCCCTACGCTTCTTATTTACGACCAACCATAACCAGGAGCCACTGGCCTGGAGCACAGCATGTCTATCCCAGGACGCTGTGCTTACAGGAAGCCAGCGGCCGTGGGTCCTCCCTGTGCTTTATTGATCTGGAAGTTGTTTGTCAGGCTGAGAAGATGCCGCAAGATGAGACGCTCTTCGGTGTAGCCAAACGAAGACCAGGGCCGAGGAGAGGCCAATAAAAGCTGAGCAGACTGCACCAAAATAGAATGTTTTAATTGGGAGGAAGTGGGCGAAAAACTGGAACAATGAGGAGGAAGAAAGGCATGTGATTAAAATGCCGGAGGTCGAGAGGGACTCCACCTCAACACACCTCACACCAAACGGGGACAACACGACAAGTCCTGCTTTCTCATCTCTCCGGCAAGCTGTTTTTCCTGTGCGTTCCCATGCGAGAGGTCATGTCATTGTTGTACAATGATAAAGCAGCCCTTCATCCTGTGTGGGGCATGCTGATCTTGTAGCTACAACAAACGTGTGTCAAACAGGGGGTGCAATACCTAACAAATGATTCATTCAGATTTGCTGAGGCACAGATATCCTTATCGTTCAGTATTCCCTTAAAAAGCCAAGGCTGTAACTGTGTATATTGATTACAGAATATTTTATCAGTCTATCAGTCTTTTTATTTAGCTCTTTTTCTTTCCATTTCATTAGTTCATGCTCTTATTCTGTCTGTTATTCTGTATTTATTGCTGTCTATTTATTCTGTATTATTCTGTCTATTTGTCTGTCTAACATTTGTATTGCGCTACATATTTACTGTAGCATTCTCTCTTATTAGTTTGTTTTTTCAATCTGTATATATATATTTTTTGTTTGTACTATCATTCATATCATTCATTTTTTATATAGTGTCTGTCTTTTGTTCTATTTAGCCTTCTCTCTTATTAGTTTGTTCCTTCATTCTATCTATTTTGTTTGTTATGGTTCATGGTTCATTCATTCATACCATCTATAAATTGTGGTCCGCTTTGGTGCATTTCTCACAACACTACATTTGCACAACAGTTAATGCATTTCTCAAAACAATTAGTACAAACTGCAAAACCTAGTTGATAACCTGCAAAAGTGTGTCACTTGCTCAAAATGGATCGCTCATTTCTCAAACGCAAGAGTTCATGTCAATGAAAGTGTCAGTGTCATCAAGATGAAAAGTCCTGACACCATTGTTAATGAACAAGATAATCATATGGCTTTGTCATGTTTTCATTATGACAGTTTACTTGGGTAGAGCTGTGCACAACTCTAAACAATATTGCAGTACATGTACATATTGGAACTGAACCTACAACATACATAAGTCTGCAAATCATTCATGAAATTGTTCAATTTAGAAGACATTTTCAGAAAAGAAAAAAAGATTTACATTTTTTTTATGAAATTGGCTTGACAGATTTTGACAACTAGTTTAACATTTTTGTATGTAATGACTCAAGTAATGAAATGAGGACTATTAGTTTTATATGGAATGACTATTCAGCATTCACAAGTTTAGTTAATTTTGACCGACATGACATAAGCAAATTATAATGTCGCAGTAGTTGAACTGTTATAAAACAACAGAGAGTTGTATGTAGGCAATTGGATGCATGTCAAAAAAGCATTTGCAATTTGGTGGAAGGACTAAGAAACTGTTACTAAATGACTAATTGTTTTGAGAAATGCATTAACTGTTGTGCAAATGTAAATATGGTGTGAGAAATGCACCAAGCGACTGAGAAAAAAGGTAAATTAAACAAAGTATGGCAGTTGATACAATTGATGCATAAAGCAAACAGTACCTCCACATTTTAATAAAGGAACCATCTATCTATCTATCTATCTATCTATCTATCTATCTATCTATCTATCTATCTATCTATCTATCTATCTATCTATCTATCTATCTATCTATCTATCTATCTGTCTGTCTGTCTGTCTGTCTGTCTGTCTGTCTGTCTGTCTGTCTGTCTGTCTGGTGTTTATCACTGTTTTATTAGTTTGTTCTGTCATTGTCAATTTTCTAGTTTTTATCATTTTCATTAGTTTGTTCTTTCATGTAACATTAGATGATTGCTATCATTTTATCCACTCCAGTGTACGTTGTTTGTCTAATCTATAATTTTATCTCAAATTCTGTCATTAATTGTGTATATCTTTTTGTCTGTCTCTGTCAGAGGTTCTGCATGACAAAATGAGGTAGTGATGCCACATGGCTGCGCAACAGTGCTGTAAACATTTTTTGTACATGCATCTCTCTTTCTCTTTCTCCTCCTCCTCATCCCCTCTCAGATCCGCACACTGTGTCATTCCCTCTCTCAGTTCTCTCCTCCTCCCACCTTGAGTTCACATCGCACCGACTGACCAAACACTCAGTGGATTAGGATGATGAGGGCAGAACTGTCTTCAAACACAGAGAGTGCCTGACAATAAACCTGTAATTTGCACTTTATTTAGGTTTTCTCATAAGAAATCGAGTTTGAGGATGCATAAGTAAACGCGCTTTTTTACTTACACTTCACTTTTTGTGTTGACATCACGCGCGCACGGAATCAAATCTACACCCGCGGTGAGATTTATTTACCCATCTTCTCCAGTCGGGAAAACGTCAGGGAGGAGAGGACATGCTGAACAATTTAAAGTAAAGAAGACTCAATACTCATTAGCATAGTTTGGGAGAAATTCACAGGCGCATCGGCAAGGGAAAGATTTCCTTTTTGCGATTCCCGTTTCCTCTGCACATACGGAGAAAGAGGGGGCTTCAAAAATCCTGCTGTCTTCAATTAAGAGGTTCAGTTGACTAAAGTTCTCATTCTTTAAAGTTGGTTGAGATGGTTTGAGCTGTGAACTCGACGCGGAAACAAGAGTTTTGCCTCAGCAATCACGAAACACGAATCAACTGATAAGAGACAACGGCGCGGATTTACAGAGGAATTATGACACCTTTCGACGGCCTAAACTGGGGTAAATACAAAACGTAGTATTATTTTCTGTTATGTGATATCTTAGATATTTTTTTAATTAGGCTAAATGCTGGTCTGTGTACATTTGCGTCACGTCTTAAAAGTTAATGCGTTTTACGGTGTGGAAAGTGGACTGTTTAAACTTATAAAAATGCGTCTCCAGTGCGCGCGGTTTCATTCGGTTTGTTCTGTTTTATTTGACGCTGTCATTAACACTTGAGAACGGCTCTGTGAAATTCCCTAAATGATTAATCCAATTTATTATAGGCTAGTGTCATCTTTTAATTTGCGAATAAAATGCTTATATAATGTTGGCATATTATTAATAGCCAATTTTAAAAGCCAGGTTAAATTAATCAAAAATATTTAAGATAATATAAAGAATTCAGACACAAAACCTCTAAATGCCGTCTGAAATGTCCCTCTAAAATGAGCATTTTAATCAGGGTTGTGTGTAGGTTCAGTAATCTCACTTTTATAGCAAAGACGAAGTCAATTTCATGTAGGCTACTTTAAAGTGAAACGAAGGAGGGTGAGAGAAATATTCATTTTTGATGAAAATTTCAGACGCACTTAGAGGTTTTTGCACCTGAACTCTTCATATATGTTGTTTTATTATTATTTTAACAACAGGTTAAATGCTTTAAACAGTAAAAAGTTTGTCATCTCTTAAAAAAAAGTTCCAAAAGTGGATTCTAACATATGATTTTTTTGTTTGTTTGTTTCTTAAAGACTCTTTCACTTGTTAATATTTCTTAAAGGTGCTATTATCTTAAAATGCAAACTATATTTTTAAGAATATGGAAAGATTTCTTAAGGTTGAAATCATAGAGATGAATATCACAGTATGCTTATTGTAGTAAACATTTTATTAGTATTCAGTTTCTTTCTCATTTCATTTCTGTATCTTTTTGTGAGTGATGAGCATTATCAATTCTGTCCAAAGTGTGTCTCAAGTGTGTCTCTGTCTTGATGATTTCAGATTCGTAGTCCTTTCTATCCACTTTGAAAATGGAATTGTTTCAGATGGGGCCGCTGAGGCTCACTCTTCTCGTTCTTCTGAGTGGCGTGTCATTTGGAGTAGTTGAACTGGAGCCTGTGCCTGAAAACCAGCCTCAGTCTCCCAGTGCCCATGCATCTCAAAAGAACATCACCCTGGCAGTTATCCTGCCTCTCCACAACACGGAGTACCCTTGGGCTTGGCCCCGTGTGGGCCCTGCTCTGTACTGGGCCCTGGAAAAGGTGAACTCTGATCCCAACCTGCTGGCAGGTTACCATCTACAACTGGTTTTCAATAGCAGCGAAAACAAGGAAGGACTGTGTTCGGATTCAGTGGCTCCGCTTGTGGCTGTAGACCTGAAGTTCTCATACAACCCCTGGGCATTCATCGGACCAGGTTGTGACTACTCGTCCTCACCTGTGGCACGTTTCACCACACACTGGGAGGTTCCAATGATTACCAGTGGCGCAAGAGCACTGGGTTTCAATTTATACTCTTCCATTACCAACATCGGCCCGACACACAAGAAGCTGGGCGAGTTTGTGCTCAGGATGCACCGGCATTTTGGCTGGGACAAACACGCCATGCTCATGTTTAACGATAATAAAAACGATGACCGGCCGTGTTACTTTGCCGTGGAGGGGCCGTACACACAGATGCGTGAAGACAACATCACAGCGGATGACTTGGTGTTTAATGAGGATGAAGAACCCCTACGTTATGATGAGCTTCTCCGGGATATCAGCCACAAAGCTCGTGGTAAGTGACATGCGGTTGGGTGAAGAAGATATGTCTAGTAGGTATGGCAGGCTGACGTTGAAACAATAGTTCACTGAAACATTCAAATTCTGTCCTTATTTACTCACCCTCCACTTGTTCCAAAACTCTTTGGGTTTCTTTTTTTTTGTTGACCAAGAAGGTGTTTTAAAGCAGTGTCTCTCAGCCAAGTTCCGGAAGGACCACCACCTATGCACATTTTCCATGTCTCCTTAACCAAACTCACCTGATTCAGATCATCAGCTCATTAGTAGGGCCAGACAGAATCTACAGACATTTTTTGCTATTTCTGCACAGAACTTTGTAAAAAAAAAAAAAAAAAAAAAAATCTCGGTATTTATGCATAATTATTTTGTGAGTATCATGACTAAAATATATAAAATAAAAAATAATAGCTTTTAATCTTTTATTAAATGTTTACAATGCAAATCTATCTACATCCACTTATTTGGTCAGCAAAGCAAGTCCCTCATATAATATATCTAGCAAAAGACAGAAAATATTACTTTACAATCTGTATTGTAAAAATATCAAGTAAACACTTTCATATTAGTCAAAATTATTTCAGGAATTAATTTAAAAACTGAATAAATATAAATGTACACACATTTACACAAGTAAATAAATAGACTTAATGATGGGCTAAAAATCTGTGGATTTCTGCGTGCGCAGATTCTGTATGGGCCTACTCATTAGCAGACACTGAAAGACATGTAATGGGTGTGAAAGACAAAGGAGACATCTAAAACATGCAGTGTTAGTGGTCCTCAAGTAACGTTGTTGAAAAACACTGTTTTAAAGAAAGCTGGAAACCCCTGGCTTTCCTGGTATTGTTTTCTACTATGGATGTCATTCAGCAAAATAGCCTCTATAGTGTTTAACAGAACATTAAACTGTTAAAGGTTTGGAACCACTCGAGGGTGAGTAAATACACATTTTAAAGTGCACTATTCTTTAATGTCACGAATTTCTGATGAATTTTGGTCATGTTACAGTTAGTTTGAGGCTTGGGTTACTTCATATTTTCATTTGCTATGGCACATTAAGTTGAAATTGCCAGCCGGTTTAGTTTAAAGTGCAAAATATTTTTAAATATTTTTTATAGCATCTAGAAACAAAGAATCAAAAAGGAACCGTAAAATGAACATAAGAAAAATAATTATAAATCTAACAATGTACTTTATTAATCCTTTATTTTATTCACACATGCATGTCAACTTGTTGGGTCTGTGATTATTGCTGCATTTAGTAGTGCTGTTGCTGTTCTGTTTGTTTTCTGACTGTAAAACAAACAATGGCTCATTTTATTAGTGCAAATCATTTTAAAGCACATGTGCAACCTGCTTATACATCATATTAGTGGTTAGAAAAAAATCTGGCTGTGTACATACAGAATTCAGGTTTTCCATTAATTTCAAATTACATTTATATTAGTTATATAGTACAGGTTACTGAATAAAAAAAACCTATTAATTTCTTTGTGCAAAGAAGCACATTTTTAGTCCTCTACTTACCTTCTGATTTTAATTGACAGCCTGTTAGATAATAAACTCTTTGATCTTTGCTACTGGAAATATAAGTCACAGCATGTTTGGTTTATTATGTACTTTATGAATGGAATTGCAATTTTATGTCACAATACAATACCTTTATGTCACTGTACAATACATTTCTGTCCTTAAATGATGTTTGAGTTTTCAGCCTCTTTCAAGTTATGAAAAATTGAAACAATATTGTTTTGTTGAGATTAGGATTGAAAACAGTCACCATCGGAATTTCGAACAGTTTAGAATAGTCCAATTCATGAATATACTAGGTTAAACATTTTTCTTTCTCTATGGTGTCATGAATTATTCATGAATTGAATAAGAATATTGCTTTCAGTTTCCTGTCTATTCAGATATTATTTAATCTCTTCTTGTTGTTATTTAAATGTAATGCAACTTGAGAAAGACACAAGGGGAAAAATAATTAGGCTGGTTGTCAATCCCATATGTTTACAAGCAACCAAATAATCTGTTAGTAATCAGACTAATGGCTCATTTAAAACACGTGGTGGTGTTGGCTTAGGTTGTGTTTCAAAAAACCTTCCATACATGGTGTCATTATAAGTTATACTTTAATAGTTTAAGGTTGGTTTGGACAGTTTGTTTTTCATATCATTTTTTAAATTTCATCAGGACTCTGATGGGACACTGATGATGTTTAGGCTTCAGGGTCATTGAATGGCTTTCTTGTTTTATTGACATTTATTTCTTCTGCTGAAACACTCATAGAGAGGCTACATAAAAGTTGTGCCATATTTTTCGACATCTCCTCTAATGTTAATTTAGTGTTTATCTAGTAGTTAATTAATTCTAGTGTTATCCATTTGTCAGTTTGAACTAATATGCCTTCAAGATTAGTTGACAATTTGTTTCATTTTACAGTGCCTTTAACATTTGTTTCATGTTAAAGGTCCTGTAAGTTTTTGACTCTTCTTAAACATAAAAATGCCATAAAATATTCACAGATATTTAGGAAACATGCTAAGTGAACATGTTTGTTTATCTGAAATACAATGCTAAAGTCACTTATTGCAACACAATCTCACGTCAATTCATAACTTTTTAATTTAGTGTCTAATTTGTATGAATTTGTACAATCTGATTCATACAATTTAATATGATTTGCTTATCCCCCAATGATGGTTGGGTTTAAGAGCGGGGTTGGGTACCATGTCTCCTTTTAACGACTGAACTTTAGTTTGTACAAACTTGTACGAATCTCCCACTAAACTGATAAAATATAAAGTAGTTATGTTTCCTCGTGAGATCAGGCTGGTTAATCTCCTTTTTAGAATATGTGTTACGTGTCAGAATTTCTGTCTTTGTTTTAATAGCAGCCTATATATATATATATATATATATATATATATATATGATCAATATCACATTATTATCACATTATTCGTAGCAGTGCGATATGGCTGTATATCAGCACTAGTGAGAGGCGTGCAAAGGCATAAGTATGGCATAAAGGCATAAGTATGATTTTGCATTTATACTTCAGTTCGACGGAATAGTCATGTAGCCTATATAAAAAGAAAATCAAACACGGAGAGTCTAAAAATCCTTTTGTATGAGGAATTACTTCCTTCTGCCATTCTTTCACATCTGCAGCTGACATCAGAACAGCAGAAACCATTGCTAATTCACCAACGTCCTTTTAGAGCTAGTATTTGAATAATTTTCTAGCATAATATGTAAAGTGATGATAAAAGTTTTTAGGTTAAAGTTATAAGGCTGAATGACATGAATTGCCATCAGTCTAGAGACATTCCCCAGCATTCCCTAGAAAGCAACGCAATTACTACCAGAGTAATGTTGTGTTAGCTATAAGGAAAACTCTAAAGACATGCGGGCATTTCTGCTTTTTCTTTTTACGGAATTAGTCTGCAGTAACAAAAACAGGAGACTCATTAGAAACAAACAGATGGCCAACCAAAAAGTAACTCAGGGTTATACAAAGAGTGGCCAACACAAAATACATATATTCCTGACATACCTGCCAACACTACTGTCTCCCGTATTTCAGTCCCATCTTCTGTGTTGTTCTGTCTCCCGGAAAACTACCGGAATACCCCCCCACCCTGACAAGCTGATGAATGCTGATGTGCTTTATCTCTGAAATTATAAACATTTAAAATAGGCACTGACCTTATAAATAAACTGCACAGTTGCTATTTAAACAACTACAGTCTTGGCTAAAAAAAGCCTCAAAAGTACATTATGTTGTCCAACAGCTGCAATATTTGTCAAACTGTATTTGACAGTTGATTGATCTGCTGTCACTTTATGCAGGCGGAGTAGTACAGAAGGGTGAGGAGGCTGTCTGGGTATTGCAGAATATCACACAGCTATCAGCCAATCATATTTTTATAATGTGCAAATAATAGAAAAAATGACATATGTAAACATTAGCTGAACAACTTATTTTGTAAGGCTCGATCGTCAGGCATGCGCGCTCCTGTTAGTATTATCAATCTGTCAACCTGCATTTTGTCAACTTCAGTTTTTATTTTTTCCAGAGTTATGACTCAAAAATATGCTTTAAAATACAAAATGCATTCACCGAATATGTAACTGTTTGAATAAGATTCTATCAGACTACTCCCATTCTATCAGAATGTTCTTGGATGACAACAGAACATCAACAATCTACTCAAGCGCTAATGCAAATATTGAAAGAAATTTGACTCACAGATTTATAACTAGAGCCTGCAGACTTTTATTAAGTGCAGATTTATTACTGCGAGCTGCCATTGGACCTGCACAGGTGAGCAAAAACAGGAAGCAGAAGCTCCCTGAGCTCATCTGTGCCTGAGGCTCAAAAATGGGCTCACTGAAGCACAGCTCTGGAAACAATTAACTGAGAAGAGATGCAAGAGAGGCTCTCTACCTCGTCCCCGTGCCCTTATTCCCAGGGCCTGACAAAAACAGTTGAGCATTTCATAAAAGCTTGTAGGGGTAATCAATTTCTGAGAATATGAAAATTGGAGAGTGACATGAAGGGAGAGCCAGAGATATACAGACGTGATGAGAGGGGAAAGAGTGAAAAAGGAATATTTTTCAGGAAATTGATGCATTTCTGTTGGCTCCACACACCAGGTGAAAGAGACATGAGAGGCAAGGTCGACTCTTCTTCAGGGATTGAATACAAAAAAGCTGATAGACAGGTGAAAATTGATAGATGTACAGAATTAAAGAGCTGAGAAAATAGATTCGTGCTTCACCGTCTGTGGCCCTTATAAGGCAAGAGTATACTCTTATTGTGCTGTTTTCAGTAGTTATGGGAGGAAAATGATGTACTTGAACATCAATATTCTGTCTCAAATTACTCGATCGATTGCCAAGAATGTTTAATTCAGTGCTAGGAATTATTTTCAGAAGTGCATGCAGGGTAAAACTTGTGTGCAAAACTTTAAAGACATGCACTTAAAA